TTTATGTATTTTTATCTTGTACATCTTATGCATTGTTTTCTTATAATTTATATTTTTATATTGTAAATATTTTTGTGTCCCCATTTAGCGGTTTTGTTACAACTGCTATTTTAGCCTGACACTTCAGGTGGCCAAACACAATTTCTGCGCCCCCTCTTGTTAATGCCATTTAGCGTGCGCACAAGGATTACACAAAGCAACCATGGCGTCAATACAGGGATCGTTTTATTTGGTCAATGCCCTCGCTATCTGTCCATTTTTTTTCATAATTGAACACAGTGTATTTATGACTTTACTCTTTTATCAAAAATGTATATTAGAAATGGTGACGATGCAATAATAATAATAATAATAATAATAATAATAATCACTTTATTTAAGTGTCGATGTATTTAGCACTAATGTGCTAAATACACAGTTCTCAGATTTTGCAAAGAACCCAGCAATTCTCAGATTTTTCCCTTTTACTGAAGGAACCCAGTTAAATGCAGTGCATGTGTAGTAAGGTAAAAAATTGCGATTGAAGGCAGAATAGCTTTCTTGGAAATACGCCTATTTCTCGAGAACCACCCATTAGAATTTTACGAAATTTGGCACGAAAATACTTTACAAAACAAGTAACTGGAATATGGAAAAAAAATTGAAAATTGACAGAGGTGATTCTAGATATTCCAGTTAAACTTCTACAAGTGAAAGATCCCTCTGTTAAACTATTATTAAAATAGTGCTCACTTGTGAGCATTATTACAATCCTGTTGCCAGCAAATGAAAAAGAAAATCTAACGACTAGATTTTCTGCAAACAAACAAAACTGATTTTAAAGACCTGTTTATATTTATTCATGTTGCCATGGCAACAGCACATATGTCAGCTTAGCTATCAAAAATGCGAAGTTTGTGTTGTTAACTTGGGTGTAGCCATTTTTGGCGACCAAAGGATCAAGGGTTTTAGAGAAAAAGACTTCTTACTAACCTGGTCTTCTTGGTCGGTACTGTAAGTTATGGACCGAGTTTTCTCCCCTTCAATTTATGGCTCAGGCGTGAAGTGCCTAGGCCATAAATCAAAGAGGAAACAATGAGGATCAGTAACTTACAGTATGGGCCGAGAAGACCAGGTTAGTAAGATATTTATTATATCTCCACTGTGTCTGACAGGTTCAGAATGATTTCTGTTCATGGTGAACGGCTTCAAATTTCTGACACAAAAGCAAAACAAGTCAATTTGAAATCACTGTTAAGTCGTTAGTGAATTTTAGAGCAGTTTTCAATTGAGTGTTGTAAAACCAAAACCAAACCAATTACTTACCAATTAGACTACTAACTGGTAATTTTGGGTGCGCTAGCCTCCTGATGCTTACCAGACTGATGGACATCATTTTCACTATGCAAAATTTTAACAGTCTCGAGCAGTTTCTAAGATTTAGATTTTGATGGTCATTTTAACCACCCTTTATCAGTTTGATGCTACATTCATGGTATCAAAGAACTACCCAATCAAAGGAGAACACATTGTTATCATCTTTGTGGCACAACAGATTGCCACAAATGTAGCAACAGTATGACCTGCTAAAAACACCCTTAATGTTAGCTTTAACTGTTTATAACTCAACAATAAGCTCAGTAACTCTAATTTTTTATAACATTTTACTAAATTATGACTAGCAGGACATTACACACATTACATCTTGGTTGACCGATTCAAACAGTTGCAAGTTTATTACAGTGTGTTCAGCTTTTTTCAGTTAATGCAGTGACTTGATCTGCTAACATTGAAGGCATTATTTGACTCATGTTCAGGGTATTTTGAAGTAGCTGTAGTTAATAGATGTAATATAATGTTAAAGGCAATCGTTTCCTGTGAATGCTGTTTGATTGTTCTGTTGTTACAAATAAAGGACAAGTATCAGTCTTGTCTGTAAACAAAAGTTCATTTCTAACTTAAGTACACTATTTTGCATTTTAGAGTATTTTAAGGTGCAAGTTAGATTTGTAATTGCATGGATGCTTATGGTAAATATATCTGTGTTGGGTATGGTCTACTTATTGCTTGGTAAATAAGATGTTTGTGGGAACTATATTTGGCCTAATGGTATTTAGATCACCATTTTCTGTTGATATTTTGAGATAATTTGGACCTAAGCTGGATATTGAAGGAAGTATTTGTTCAACATGTTGGTTGAAAAGTCA